TGGTGAAGGAAAGTTTGGTTGGTGATGGTGAAAAGATGGTGGCCAAAACCCCAATGGGAGTGCTTGATAGCATCCGAGAGCCTGTGAATTGGCAGTGTGACTGCGCATGGCATGTGGCCTCGGACTACACCAGTCGGTTCAACAAAGCTTAAAGCCTTGGTATGCAGGCTTCTTTTTGATTCTTCGTCAATTTGGTTGTCGGGGTTTGGGGGACGGGTTCGGGACGCAGGGCTTTGCGGTTTCGGGAGGATCGCAGGGCCTGGAGTTTCGGGTTTAGGGCTTATACTTGGAGGCTCAGGGGACTGAGTTTAGGGTTTAGGGTTTAGGGCTTATAATGCTTGGAGGCCCAGAGGACTTAGTAAGTAGGTTACAAGTAGAGTTATAAGTACCCTAAATGGAGTTACCCCAATGATAACCCTACTTATAACCGACTTACTAAGTCCCCTGGGCCTCCAAGTAAGTTTATGCCAGGAGCCCCCCAAGTACCCGTTTAAGGGCTCTGATATGTTTCATTTTGAGGTAATTGGGGGTTACAGTGGAGGGTAGCTGGGGGGTCTAGCTAGGGTTTACGATTTAGGGTTTTAGGGTTTGTGGGTCTACGGAGTCCTTCGACCCCTGATGAAAACCTAGACCTTTGACCGCCAGTTCCAAAACCCTACCTACAGCCCCCTAGTGGTAACACCTGCTAGTTTTGCGTTTTGGGGGTTTAGAAGCCCTAAACCCCAAACCCTAAATCCTTAACCCTATGCCGGTTTTTAAGGTCGGGGTTTTGGGTAGTCTAACATTGTGGGGTTCACGGTTTTAGGATTCGGATATCAGAGTTCAGAGTCACGGTTTAGAGTTTAGGGGCTTAGGGTTTAGGGCTCAGAGTGGGTGCTTGGGTTTTTAGATCTATGAAGGGAAATGCCTTGAATCGTATTTCCCAAAGGATCCTAAGTATCTATATGGGGGACTAAGGCATATATTCCCTTCATCAAAGGATATCGGGAGATGTGGCTTTATCCCTCAACCCAAGACCCTGAACCCAAAGTCCTATCGGTATTCACGTGTTTAAGGTCTACCCTAAGGCTCACAAAACCTAAACCCTAGACCCTAAACCCTATAGACCCTAAACCCTAAGCTTTAGCGCCGAAATTGCCAGGGAGCTGTGCCAGCTTCTTGGAGAGGTCTTGTGGGGCTTCGGGGTTTAGGGTTTATGGATGCAGGGCTTCATGATGATGAATGTTAATGTAGGGTTTAGGGGTTTAGGGTTTGGGGTTTAGGGTTTAGGTTCATCAAGCTGTAGCTGTAGCTGGACTTCTATCGCTGGATGTCAGGCCATCTTCCTCCCAGCGAAAGAAGACTGCCGTGATGCAACTCCGACTGTCGAGCTCGATGGCAGCAGGGCCTGAAGAGCAAGGGAGTGATTCAGAGGTTTAGGGTTTCGGGAACCATAAACCCTCAACCCTATCAGCCCTAAACCCTATAAGCCCTAAACCCTAAACCCTCAACCCTATAAACCCTAAGCTAAACCCTTCACGTCAGTCATGGTCCAGGCTCCCAATCGCTCCAGCCCGCAGTGCTACGATCCCCAGGGCCTGAGGAGTAGATTTTCAGGGTTGGGGCCAAGGGCCTGGCGAGCAGGGTTTAGGGTTTAGGGCTTAGGAGTTTACGGGTTTACGGGTTTACGGGTTTAGGGTATAGGGTTTGTGGTTTGGGGTTTCGGGGTTTACGGGTTTAGGGTTTACGGAATGCAATAGTTTCGGGTCCTAGATAGTTACCTATACTTTTTTGGGGGGTTCCTTCCTGGAACCATCGTATACTGGACCCCCAAAACCCTATTCTAATTATAATGGCCCCCCACATTAAGTCTTCACAGGTGCAACTTCAAGGCTCTCAGGACTCATATTTCAAAGTTTCCGGGCCCAAAGACCATAAAACGCAACCCCACACCCTAAACCCTGAAACCCCAAAACCCTAAACCCTAATCCCCTAAACCCTTAACCCGCAAGGCTTTGGGCTGCTTTGGGCCTTGGGGCTGGGCATTCTAAGGCCTTCACTCCCAGACCCAAAGTGCTCTAAACCCGAAGCCACAACCCCCAAACCGTAAACCCTACCTGGACACTGAAGAACCTACGTTTTCAGGGTTCCTTACTATGATTTCTGTAAATATAGTCCTTAAAAAGGCGTAGGTCATTTGGGGTTAAGGTAAGGCCGAAATAGGCTATACCCTAAACCCTAAACCCCAAACTCTAAGGATGATTTGTGCTGGGATTCTCTGTGCTTTACTTCAAGGATTCAAGGGCATGGAAAAACAACGCACCCACTTCCCCTAAGCCTCAAAACAGCCCAACAGTTCTGTATGGCATGGTCTGTAGGACCCAAAAGCCTTAAGATATGAGTCCTTAGAGCCTTTGGGTTTCTGGCGTCTTCTCTAGTTCTCACCGGAGCCACAAGTAGGAAGCGAAGCACCCTGAAAGGCAGTAGGATGCGAAGCACCCTGAAAGGCAGTAGGTTTAGGAAGTTTAGGGTTTAGGATTTAGGGGTTTAGGTTTTAGGGGTTTGGGGGCTTGCAGCTACTGCGACTTTTTTTGGGTCACATTCCAAGCTCTCCTCCGACGCGCAGTGTTGTTCAAAATCTCTGTCTTCAAAATAGGTCACAAGTATTGTCAGGGGTCTAAGGTCAAAATAGGTCACGAGAATTAACAGGGGTCTAAGGAACAGCAATCCATCCATTCTATGGTTCCTATAACCCTAAACCCTAAACCTATAGTACGTCAGTCAGGGTTTAGGGGCTTGAACTACCGACACAACACTTCCCTAAACCCTAAACCCTAAACCCTAAACCCCGGAAGCCTTTTTCACGCAGACCCAACGCCAAAGGCAACAGCAAGGGCCTCTTTACGATCAACGGTGGCTCGGCTGCAGCACCAAGGGAAGAAAACGAAGCCGGGGCCTTTAAGGGATCCTTTTAAGGGGTCCTTTACAAGGTTCCTTTCAAGGATTCCTAGAGGGTTCCTTTAAGTGATCTTTTCAAGGGTCCTTTTTAAAACGGTGTCTGTCAAGGATTCCTAAACGGATCCTTTAACGGATCCTTTTAAGGGGTCCTTTACAAGGTTCCTTTCAAGGATTCCTAGAGGGTTCCTTTAAGTGATCTTTTAAGGGGTCCTTTTTAAAACGGTTTCTGTCAAGGATTCCTAAACGGATCCTTTAACGGATCCTTTAAGGGGTCCTTTACAAGGTTCCGTTCAAGGATTCCTAGAGGGTTCCTTTAAGCGATCCTTTTAAGGGGTCCTTTTTTAAAAAAAGGTTCCTGTCAAGGGTTCCTTTAAGGGGTCGAATGTTTGTTAAGGCTTTCGGGCTTTAGGGCAAACTTTAGGATTTATCTCTGAACTTCGCAGGGTCTGGAGTTTCGGCTGTGGGCATGGTTTGGTGTCTGGCTTCTTGTAGGACATGGCACACTGTTCTAGGCTCGAGGTATGTTTAGGACTTCTAGCCACCAGTCGGAAGTGTAGTTGGTGGTAGTCTCCAAGTATCCTGAAAAAAACATGTGTTGTACATCTAGCATGATACAACGTGCCGACTGAGGAGCACAAGCCGCATCCGCATACCTTCCTGCCGAACCAATGCGGACTACTCACGACTCCGTGTACATCAAGACATGGAGCACGGAGTGGGCCAGGTTTCGAAGCCCTTAAAGGAAACCCAGACAAACCCATAATTCTAAAACGCATACGCCCGAAACCGCCAACTCCTAAACCCTACATAGAAGCCTAGAAAGGATAGAGTTCCTGTAAGAACCCTACGCATTTATGGAGCCAAGGAGTCCACAAGGAACTAAGCCCTAAACCCTAAACCCTGAAACCCCAAGAGAGCCTTAAACCCCCAGAAACCCTCAAACCTGAATACGACTCAGCACCCTACAAACCCTGAGCCCAAAGCCCCAAAGCCTACTAAACCCTAAGCCCCAAACCCTAAACCCGAAATCCCAAACCCTATACACCGAAACCCTAAACCCTAAGAGCCCCCAAATAACCCAAAACCCTAAACCCTAAGAGCCCCAAAACCCTAAACCCCCCCAAACCCAAAACCCTAAACCCTAAACCCTAAGAGGCCCCTAACCCTATAACCCTAAACCCTAAACCCTAAGAGCCCCCCCAAAAAAACCCTGAACCCTAGACCCTAAACCCTATAAACCCTAAGCCCTAAGAGCCCAAAAAACAAACCTCATTGATTCTCAGCTTAGGAGCTGGCGGCAGCTATAAGCTTTGCTACCGTGGCCCCGGAGGAAGCGACTCCGTGGAACAGCAACTCGCTGGAAGGGGCTTTGGGGTTTAGGGCGTTAGGGGTTTAGGGGTTGTAGGG